TGAAGAAAGACAATGAAATGGAGAGTATGCTAATAAATAATTTCAGCTATTATGATGCACTTGTATTTGGTTCTACTCTTTCTTCACTTGAAGAGAAAGTAATAAAACTCATTATGTGATACAGACATTTGCCTGACAGCTGCACACAAAGATGCAAGACACCTGTCCCAGCTGATGACAGATTTAGCTATCCATCACACACATTTCTTGTAATTTGGCCTTAACTATATTATCTTTGAAGACTAGATATTCGTAACACTAATGAATATGAATGAGATTGGTCCCAGTCAAGTAATCAAAAGGTAATTGGGAATGTATGTCACAGAAGAAGAGGCTAGAGAATACTAGAGCCAAAGAAAAGATATTGGAGTTGTCCCTTAAATTTTAAAAATCGTTGTTCAGCTATGTGGTGAATGCTCATCTTTAATAGTAGTATGCTGCCAGTGGAGAAAATAATGAATTAGTAATACTGTTTTCTTTGTTTCAGGAATCCTTATTCTGAGAGCATAAAAGAGATGCTGACAACTTTTGGTACAGCAACATACAAAGTAGGCTTGAAGGTTCATCCAAATGAAGAAGACCCACGTGTCCCTATAATGTGCTGGGGGAGCTGTGCTTACACGATACAGACTATAGGTACTAATGGATTCATTTGCTCCTTTATAGGTGATTTTCAGAATTTAGTTAAACTCACAACATTGAATTCTACTTTTTTTCCAGAGCGAATTTTAGCTGATGAAGATAAACCATTATTTGGTCATTTACCTTGTCGACAGGTAAGGATCAAGTAGCAGTTCCTCTCTGAATTCATGGGGAAAAATAGGAAACTGTGCTTCTTTAGTGAGGAATATCTAAATTTTAAGTTATGGTTATTTTATAGTTTTGTTTGTTGGGTCCTACTCTTCAGTCAGTCTGTATCTCATTAGTAATCTATTGAAAGTCCAGATCTAGCAAAACTGTTATGGTGTTTCTCCTGTAAGCATGTAGTTTAGTAAGGCCAGGGTTTCTCATGGAGTCAGTCAAAATAAGAATACTGAAAGGAACTTGTATGTTTGCATAAACGTAATTATCTGTCGTATGCTTACACAGTCAAACTGCCCCCATAAACCACCACTGAGAGGTCTGAGAAGATGCAGTGAGAGATTTCTTCCTGTTGAGGAACTTGGTTAACTGTGGCAATGTCTCTTTTTCTTTGTTTTTAAAGGATGACTGCCTTACGTCACTCACAAGATTTGCAGCAGCTCACTGGACAGTTTCATCTCTTTCAGCAGTACAGGGTCACTTTTGTACTCTGTTCGCATGTAAGTTCACTAGCTTATGCTGGTTCTTGCAAAGATACAGATACAGAAAAGTGAATGACTATTAGTCTTGATTAGGAGGAGGTCATAATAGACCAAGAGGTGGTATTTTCACCTATACATGTTATGTCATTCCATGGAAAAAAAATTAAAAAGACATTTCTCTTGGTCTGCAGTTCCAAGATACATATCAAGAGAATAACAGATAGTTCGCTGTGAAGGAGTTCTGTTGTTTCCTCCCTTTAGAAAGATACCTAGAGCAAAGGAGAAGGAAGTGTAGTCCTGCACCAAAGTGACACACTGGAACTTTAAAGATGAGGAAATTAAGATTCATAGAGTGTGGACAGGAAATAGGATATTTGCAGAAGTCTATAATGTATCTGTAAACTTCTCTGTCTTTGAAAAGTAGGATTTGTGATAAGACAGGACTTCCTATGTAATATCCTATGTTAGTGGAGAATTTTAATGACAATAGCAAAAATGTTCCAAACTTGAAGCATTAGTAGATACAGGTGAAAAGTAATTGCCCATGACAGGCCTATTCTGAAAGGGTATTATAGAATATAATAACTTTAATATTTTCAATCAGTAGAGCAGAGAAACTTTATAATGCATTCATATACCAAACTTAGGAGTGGAATTGATACCACCTAATTAAGCAAACAGTTGGCAGCTGTGTGGGGAAAAACTTAATTGTCATCAGTTTGTAGCAGTAAGGATTCTTCTCCTGTGTGAAGCAGGAGAGAAAATGCTACTAGCTATCTGACTGGAACTTTGTAGTATATGATGTTCTGCATGGTTTGGGTTTTCTTGAGAACTTGAATCAATGTTTCTTCCAAGCTCTTCCTTCCAGGTGACAGAAGTAGCTGTATTGCTTTTACTGTTATGAAGGAAAAGGTTCTACTACTTCATTTTTCCAGGCTAGGAGTAATGAAAATTGTTAGCCTTTGATCTGTCAATATCCTATAAACTATGCCTGAAGATGACTTATCAAAAAGAAGTTTGAGTTTGGAAGTCCCTCACTCTGGTCCTGTTTTTGATGGAAACACTTCTCACACTTCGGGTTGAGTTCTGTGGCTATATGCTTACAAAAGGCAAAGCTTTTGAAATCTGAGTGGTGAAATGTTTGGTAATAGAGCTTCAAAATGTCACAGATCTTCAGCTGTTAATTTTTTGGCCAGCAAGGCAGCAGTCTTCAACTGAAGTATTTTTAAGTTGTTGTGATGGGACTATTTTTTACTGCAGTAGTGGTTTTTAATTTGGCAGCTTAATGCTTATAGCTACATTGTAAAAACATTCTCATAGCTGCAGTTGAAACTCCTTTGTTGTAAATCAGGTTTTACTGTTGGAGTAAAGAAGTCTGCTACTGTTCCTTGATTGTTACTTAAAATACCGTGTTACATTTTGAAAACAATTTATGTTTGCTTTTAAATGGAGGTACTTGGAATTTATTAAGTGTGTGAATTTCTCTTGTCAGCTGGAGTGCTTTGCTTAATGCTCTGTGGTTACTGTGAATGTCAATACCACAGAGATGGAGAGACCAACACCTAGCTCTTTCTTAATTAGAGATAAAATAATGAATGTAAGAGATACTAACAATATATTTTTGAATCTGTAAGGCAAATTACTTACGTAAGGCAAGTTCAGTGAGTCTTCTAAGAGTCTTGTAAAGTGAAGCAAATGCCAAAAGTTTCCTTTGAGCAGCTGACAACAGTTAGTGTTCCTGTTTAGTCACTAGGGTTTGACCTTATTTCTGGATCAGAACTTGGGATGTATTTATTCTCTCCCACTGGAAACCCAAGCAATGAAAAAAAGTCACTATGGGAGTAGCAGATGGGTTTGTTTTGTTTCAATACAGTTAAGCAGGCAAGAGTCTTTTCCAGTAATGATGAACAACTGTTGAATTGACTTCTTTCTGGCCAAAACAGGTACATTAGTATTTTAAGTTCTTTAAGCATGTAAACCAAGGAGATACTTCTCATTTGTAACTGAAGTACATCAAAATCTTTTAATATATAAATGTTCAAATAATATTTTTTTTTCTCTCCAAAATACTTAGCACTGGTGCCTAATGAAAAAAATGGAAATCTTCCTTGCATACTTGATATTGACATGTTTCATTTACTGGTAAGTATTATGTAAAATGTATTAATAATGTTTTGATCCAGTAGGCACTATGTAAATACTATTGAAAATTTTCTCATTACTCTGGGTTAGGAACCTCTCAAAATGTTCAGGTTTTTAGGGGGGTTTTCGCTACTTAATACAATTTAAAGGCTTTTTTTAGTTTTGAGTATTCTTATCTATAAATAAAAAAAGGGGTAAAATGAGATGTAATGTATACTCTTTGGCTGTTAAAAAACCCCAAAATAAACCAAAACCAACCCCACCAACACATCACAAACAAAAAATAAGGAAAAGAAAAGAAGAAACAAATGAAAAGAAACCAACAAAAAAAATAAAAAAAAGCCAAACAGACCCCAAAACTCTCCTGATAGTTAATTTTTATTCCCTTAAATGATGTCTGTCTAATTAACTTCAAAATTAGCCTTATGTGGTATGGTGCCTTCAAAGGGTATAGTTGCAGCATGAGCAGAGGAAAGGGGAAGATTCAAAAGGAAAAGGAATGTGCCAGCTTTGGTCTTTTCTTTTACAGGTAAGCTTGGTGCTCTCCTTCCCTGCCATACATTGTCAGGATTTTTCAGGGGTTAGTCTTGGCACTGGAGATCTTCACCTGTTTCATCTTGTCACTATGGCACACATAATACAAATTTTACTTACCTCATCAACAGGTAATGCTACTTTCTTTCAACTTTTATTGAATTGATTCCTCGAATCTGTACTTAGTTAAAAACTAAGGTGCTGTTGGTAAATGTGTGCAGCTTACAGTTCCAAATGCAATTGTTGGTGCTCTGCCTTTGAGCCCATTGAAAGTATTGATACTTGTACTCATGCATGTTCGGTCTTCTATCTTTATTGCTCAACACTGGAGGTTTTTTGGAGCATAGCTACTCATGAATCCTAGCTTACCGAAACACCTGGAAGTGTTTATTGCAGAGATTTGGCTAAGGCATTGCATGATGAGTCAGTTGCAGTTAGCAAAGTAAGGAATCAATGTATCTTCTGGCGAGAGGAGCTGGATACAGTGTAGTATGCCAAAAGCAAAGAACTGCAAGCAAGTACATCAAGAAACACAACCAATCATACAAGTAAACCAACACCTCACAGGAGCTGACAGCAGCATAAACTTACCACATGAGATGTGCAGCAGAAGACCTTTTGCCAGTACATCAGATGTACAGTGTTCACTTAGTTTGGGAATTGTTCTTGAAACTTGAAAAAATAGATTCTTGCTGTATAAGCATGTATATATTACACAGCCCACTTATTATTTCTTTCTTCTTCAGAAGAGAATGGCATGGATCAAGAAAATACTAACAGTGAAGAGGAAGTAGCTGTGCTTACACTGTATAAATTTCTTTGCCAGTGTACAGGAAGGTAAAAGTGTGATCTATTGGTAAAATTTTATGGTCTTTTTCTCCCTCCTGGCCTCAACATTAACAGCTGACTGAATTCTATACACTAATGCTGTCAAAGATGAGACTTTTAACTTGGGAGCTCTTGGATCTTCTTTCTCATCCATGAGTGAACATTTCTAGGTTCACTTTTCAAGTAACCATACATATAAATTTCTCTGTGCTCATGAAGACTGTGCTCTGGAACACTTTATATACTTTTTAGTCAGTTTGCAGAATCTGGGATTGGCAGTGTCTGAGTACAGAAAACTTGTTAGGATCTGAAATATCTATGCAGTTTTCCTTCATTTACTGTCCCAGTTGGTAACATTTTTATGAATCTCTAGTTTGTTGTTTTTCTTGGAGGCTGCTTTGAAATAAACACTTTTGCATAACAGTTGTTTCCTGTGCAGTATGACTGAAGACTTAGTAAATGTAGCTCACAAACTGAAATGATTAAATAAAAGCAAACTTTTTTAAAATTGTGTTCTCTTAAGTGCCTTGAAAGAAATTTCCTCAGGCTGGCACCTGTGGAGGAATCTAAAAGCTGGAATCATGCCTTTCCTGAGATGTTCTGCTTTGTTTTTTCATTACTTAAATGGAGTCCCAGCACCCTCAGAAATTCAAGGTACTGTCTGCTTTGTATTAGATGAGCTTTTCAAGACATAAACATTTATGGTCAAAATAAATAACATTTAAACTCTCTTTTCTGAAGAAACTGATTGAATAAATGGGAGCTTGTTACCAATGCAGAATCATATCAACATAATGAAAAAGACAAAAAAATTAATTTGTTTTAAAGATGTATTTTTTAATATAGAGGCAAATGCTGTTCTAGATTACTTAAAACAGAAATTGATTCTCTTTGTTAATAAGGGAAATTTTTGATTGATTCAAATTTCCTTTTGATTATTTTATTCAAGAGAGACCTGATTTTTCTTGCATTGATTTCATCCAGTCAGTGTCTGCTAATAACTAATATCAAGGCCAGGCTGGATGGGGCTTTGAGCAGCTTGGTCTAGTGGAAGGTGTCCCTGCCCATGGTAGGGAGATTGGGACTAGATAGTCTTTAAGGTCCCTTCCAACCAAACCATGCTGTGACCTGTCTGTAAATACACTGTTATGTTAGACCCCAAATCATCAGTGTAAGTAACGTACTTCACTGTCCTCCACACGTGGCACATGTAGGGATAGAATGTAAATCTGAAGATGTTAATAAATGTTCACAGCACTTCAGGACTCCCATGTTTAAAACAAAGTCTGATAGTTGATGCTGAGCTGACATGAGAACAGCAGTTGTCTCTTGTCATGGATATGTTTGTGATTTGGTACTTGTAGAATATTTCCTTGACACATGACTCCTTGACAAGCTGTGTTTGAAATGGAGCAATACTTCAGCATTTAGGCCAAAAGAAAAGAAACCTCTATTCCTGAACTTTAATTTTCTGGACCAAGGTTTCTCAAGATCATAGTCTGGAGCAGTAGAGATCACTTAAGTTCTTTATGTTACAGATAGTCTGAAGGTGAGGTGCAAAGTGCAGATGTACTACCAGACAATAGGTTTGGGGCCTGTAAAGAGTTGGTTGTAGGAGAGCAGAAGAGAAAGGCTTTGCTTCACTTGTTTTTCACAATCCTCAAGGCCCAGGTGCTCTGATGAATGGTCCTGCATGTTCCTGTCACTGAGGGATGTCCTGACAGTGCCCATGACACTGGATGTTTTGCTTTCCCTTCCCATGCCCTCGCCCCAGGATCCACTGATCCCACAGCTGGCCTGTATTCCTCTTTGCTGGTGTTTTACTGGGGATTGCAAAACAGCAATCACTTGGGCATGAGAGGGAACTGAGCACAGCTTTTATTCCAGTTCTTTTCACTCCTTTACTCAGAGCAAAAAGAAGCTGTGCCATGGAAGAGGTACTGGTACTCTTTTCTCCTGAAAGTTGGGAGAGTAGATGGCAGGAGAGTCAAATCAGTAGACTAGTATGAATACAGTAATCTAGGGTTATATCCTGGATATTTTAGTCGAGTTTGTCATTGCAGGCATTTGTAGTTTCTGTGTATCTTTCTGAGGCTGTGGTACAGTGCCTGTCACTGACCAACTGTCTCTGTGTGTGTCACAAGGAGCACAAAGTAACTGTTTCATGGATTGCATTAAATCAAAGACATACTGAGTTGTAAAGGCTGTTCAGCTCACAGATGTGGTTCTTCTGTGACTAGGCTTAAAACATGTCTGGTGGGGAAATTTGAGGAAAGTTGCTTTTTGTTACTGGCAGTTTTCCAGCATAGCTGTCTGGTGCCTTTACTAGCACTTTCATATTTCACACCACATTTTGGGTTCAGGATAATACAGTGTAAAAAAAAAAAAAAAGGATAACTGTTCCATTATTTTGTGCTGTATTTCATTTATTGTAGTTAATGTTATTTTAAAAACATATAGTTATGAGAATTATGCTTTTTTTTTCAGTAAATGGAGCAAACCAGTTTGAACACTTATGTAGCTATCTTTCCTTGCCAAACAACCTCACTTGCCTTTTTCAAGAGAACAGTGAGATTCTGAACACGTTAATAGAAAGGTGAGTTGTGTTTTTATGCTTAGTTTAAATATGCTTAGTTTAAATAAATATGCTTAAATGAAGAATCCTGCACAAGGTAGTAAAGTAGGTATTCTCCCAGGAATGCATATATGGAAGTGAAGCTTAGATTTTAAAAAGTACTTGTGAAAGAAGTGTTTGGAAAGAAATAATTTGGGTTGTGGGGGTTATTTAATAGATGTACTGTGGATTTTTTGCTTATTTGCTTTTGAATCATCCATTGAAGTTAAAAGCCTTTTTTTTTTTTCTTGTAGTTGGTGCAGTAACAATGAAGTAAAAAGTTACCTGGAAGGCAAGAGACATGCTATCAGGTATCAGAGATTTTTAGCAGAGATGGGGAAAAACTTGAATATTGCAGTTTTTTGCCAAGTATTTTCTAAAGGGTGTTTATAATAACAGAGTATCAGTTCTGCTTTATTGCATGACAAAGATATTAGGGGATAAGTGAGGAGATTTTTGAAATTCGGTAAGAAAAGGAGTTATTGCTTAAATCAGTAGATTTTTAAAGGCAAAGTTAAATATTGCAGTTTTATTTAGACTGACCTGCAGTACTCAGAGGCCATAAAATTTCTTCTCAGGTTTCGTATTACTTTGTACCTTCTGATTCAAAAGATATGCTGTTACTATAAGACATATATAATCTATGTTTAAAAATATTAGGCACTAAAGAGCTTTTTAAATTATCTTTTTCAAGAATCCAGTTCCTTCAGTGAAACCAACACTGAGTCAGTTGCTAAAAAGAAAATTCCCTTTTCTTACATTTCTCTTGCTTAGCAATTCTTTTGAATTCAGAACACAGTTAATACTTAGTGGGAGTAGAAAAGCATTTGGGGTGTTGTTCTTTCTGAAGGCTGAGTAAAAATAGTGGTTAACAATTATCCAAATAATGATAACTGAATGTGAAGTTCACAATGCTGTCATAGAAAAGAAACATGTCCCTGCACTTTAATCTCCTGTGCTGAATACATAAAGTCAATCTTTCAACATTGTACATGCAACAAGGCGAATTGACAAAAATAAAAATGAATCACTTCATCTGTTAAACAACAGACTATTAACAAGGTTTCTTATACAGTAAGAATATTCTGGTTGCATAATTGACTTGTGTTGCATGTGATTGTTGGGATTTTTTCCATGTGTTCCTTTTGCTGATTCTTAACTGCTCTTCCCAAGATTCTGTCTGACTTGACAGTGGTTTTTTCCTCCCAGTGTGTTCTTGTACTTTGCTTCTGTTACAATGTCTGCATTTTATAGTTTAATTTGTATTATTCCTGGAGTTGAAGATTATTAAAATTTAGTGTATAGTATCTGTTGTTTTTAAGTATATAAATATTTGGTATTAAGTAAGTCCTTTTCATTGCATGAATATTTCATTCTCTTCAGGATACAAGTTTTCTGATGTGAGAGTTAGACTATTTTCCATTCAATATTAGTGACAAAAGGAAAATACAAAGCAAACCGATACAGGAGGGAACAAATATTTAGTTAAACCTGTAGTGACCTCCTAATGAGATTTTGCCAAAAGCATGCATATGACATGTATTTTTCTGACTTTCTGCCTCTATGTTGTCTCAAATTCATAAAAAAATGACTAAGAAATGGGAGGTGGGTTAGTTGAGAGATGTTGTGTGTTCCTTTTTTATCTGCTGCCATTTTACTGTATGAATGGCAGAGAAGAGGAAAACTTTAAAAATTTAATCATTCACAGATGCTGCTTAGATGAGTCAGGGAAACATGAATGAGTTTGAATTCACTGTGTATTATTCATTGAAATCTGAGTGGTTGATTTGATCGCTTTTTTTCTAGCTATGCAAGAGAATCCAACAAATTAATACACCTTCCGGACGACTACAGCTGCCTCATTAACCAAGCATCCAATTTCTCGTAAGTTGTGTGCAATGACAGGGAGGAGCCTGAAGTCTTCTGCTCCCTTTGATGAACTAGGAAACCTCTAACCTGAAAACCTCCAAGTTCTGTATAGAATCATAAAGTTTGTTAGCAAAACTGCCCTGTATTTCAGGGAAGTAGTGAAATAGGAGTTACAACTATTAACTGTATAAATGTTCAAATGTACTTCTGAATCTTTTACCATCTAGAGTTAATACACATAGTGAGCTGCTGCTTTTTTTTTTTCCCCTTTTGCACAATAAAAGGTGTCCGAAATCAGGTGGTGATAAAAGCAGAGCCCCAACATTGTGCCTTGTGTGTGGGACGATGCTGTGTTCTCAGAGTTACTGCTGTCAGACTGAACTAGAAGGGGAAGATGTTGGAGCCTGCACTGCACATACATACACTTGTGGTTCTGGAGTGGGCATATTCCTTAGGTAAAGGGCTGAATGCCTCTACTCATATTGCTGTGTTCAATACTATGTGTGGTCATTAAATTAATAGTTCTATAAATGTGATTGCAGAGGTGGTTGATAAAGGGAGTGTTTTGTTAACAACAGGATTGCCTAAAAAACAGTGTGTATTTATCTTCCTGTACCTTTGTATAAGGTTCAGAGGTCATTTCTTCTAAGACGAAGTGCCATAGAAAGTTTGAATTTAATTTTCAAGTGAATTTGTTTTGTCTGTGTTTCTTTCTGCTCAAGTATTGCAAAATGATGAAGGTAAATACTTTGATTTTGTTGTTGCTGCTGTTAAAACATGAAAATTCACTTTACTTGTCCTCCTGTATACAAGGAAAGGTTAGATGGTGTCTATTTTTCACTTTGGTAAAGATTAGTGAGAAGTGAAATTGCTTTATTTTCTTCTTGTGGCTTTGTTGAGTATTTTACACAGACTGCAAATAATATGTCATGGAACTACATTGTTTTTAACTGCTACTGAGGATTTATAACAGGAAGAGAATGAGAACTTTAGCTTAAAACAAAAGTACCTTTAAAAATCTGTGCATACAGATTGTACAGAGTGAAAGTAGGTAAGGACTGGAAAAGCAGGACCTGTGAAAGTATAAGGAACTATTTTCCTGAAAATCAGTACCTAAAAATCTTCTCTGTGTTTCTCTCTAGAGTACGAGAATGTCAGGTGCTATTTTTAGCTGGGAAAACAAAGGGCTGCTTTTATCCTCCTCCTTATCTTGATGACTATGGAGAGACAGACCAGGGACTCAGGTAAATATTTAAAAAAATACATCATTTTAAGGAGAGGAATTCTAAAACTATCTGGTTTGTAAAATACATTTTAATGTAATCTCTTTATTTTAATTATATAGGTAACATTATATTTTGACATTGTTGCTGCATCTAATATCTTCAAACATTTTAATGCTAATATGTGGTTTTAGGTCAAAAATCTGTATTGGAAGATCTCTCCCAGGTTATAAACAGTTGTCTTGAAGTGTAAGACTTATATCTTTTTAGCATCTGTGAAGTTGCTTCAAAACTAAAGCTTAAAATTTTATTTGTACCTAGTCCATTTGTTTGTATAACCTGTGTTAAATTAACACCAAATGAAAATACCCTGAGATTATTTTATTCAGTGTGGTAGTTCTTTGTCTTAACTTCGATCTCTTCTTCCTATGAGAGGATATTTTGGGGACTTGATATTGTTAGTGCTTGCTACTTCTGAAACTCGTCCAAATCAGAGGATATGGACTGGTTTAGCCTGGAAAGGTTGCTGAAAACTTGCATTCAGAGGCCTGTGGGCTGTGTGTGAGGTTCCCAAAGGCTGGAGAGAACTGTTGGGCAGTCAGGGTGCGGCACCAGACAAGGTAGTGCTGCAGTTCATTAGTCCAAATACCTGTTGATTTGCTCTGATACGAGAATAGGATATTGAAGTGCTGGAGCAGGTCCAGAGAAGAGCAATGAGGCTGGTGAAGGGACTCGAGCACAAGTGCTATGAGGAGAAGCTGAGATGGTTGTTTAGCCTGGAGAAGAGGAGGCTCAGGGGAGACCTTATCACCCTCTGCAACTCCCTGACAGGAGGTTGGAGTCAGGTGGGGGTTGGTCTCTTCTCCCAGGCAACCAGCAGCAGGACAAGAGGGCACAGACTCAAGCTCTGCCAAGGGAGGTTTAGGTTGGATATTAGGAAGAGATATTTTACAGAGAGAGTGTTCAGGCATTGGAATGGGCTGCCCAGGGAGGTGGTGGATTCACCGTCCCTGGAGGTTTTCAAGATAAGACTGGATGTGGCACTTAGTGCCATGGTCTAGTAACCACAGTAGGGTTGGACTCAGTGATCTTTGAGGTCTCTTCCAACCTGGTTGATTCTGTGAGTCTATGAATAATGTTAAAGGGTTATCTAAATATTTTAGTCTTTTAGGGGGTTGTCTAATACTTAATATATCACACCAAAGTGTCTGTGCTTAGTTGAAGTGTTTCACCATTCCTGATAAATGTATTCTTCTTTTCAGACGTGGAAATCCCTTGCATCTTTGCAAAGAGAGATTTAAAAAGATTCAAAAACTCTGGCAGCAGCACAGTATCACAGAGGAAATTGGACATGCACAAGAAGCAAATCAAACACTAGTTGGCATTGATTGGCAGCATTTATAATGATTATCTGCTGAAGACTGGAACTTTAATGAAGATTTTTGTAATTCAGTAAGCTTTTCAAAGGAGGGATGAGGAAAAAAAAGTCTGAGGAAAAAAAACAACCCAAGAAACTCAGTCCTGTTATTTAATCTTTGTTTTACAATGTATTTCATAAAGATACCAGTTAACATTAATCAAGTAAACTTCTTTCTATGTAAGCAAGTTTTATTAGTCCTATAATTTGCACTGTGCTTCCTTCACAGAAATGTCTTGGGTTATAAACCTGGGCAAATGAACTTAAGTTTCTGATAAAAAAAAAAAAGAATGACTCTTTTTGGAAGTCTGACTGATTTTTCTTATAAACTGCAAGAGAAAAAG